GCACCGGCCGCGCGCCGGCGGCTGGACGCGCAGCGCGGCCCTCCGACGCCCGACCTGCCGCGTCGGGGTCCAGTCGGGCGGCCCTCCAGGCGCGCGCGCCGGCGCAGACGCCGCGATGTCCCTCGACGAGATGGCGCCGCGGTGCTCCCCGCCGTTCAACCCCATCACCACCCGCCGCACAGGGCTCGACCTATGTGGCGCGTCGGCAGTTTCGCAGGCCATTTCCGCTGCGATTGCGTCTGGCAGTCGCGGGGGGACAAGCGCAGAGCGCAGGGGAACGGAGACAACGGGAAGGCGAACATCGACGCGCAGATCGAGCTCTGCGCGGCGGGCAGTGAACCTGGCGGCTCAGGCGCCCAGAGGACCTCCCGGTGAATCTCCGCGAGGTGCGGTGCCTCGACGACGCGGAGAGCTGGATGCGGCGCCCGCGCGACAGGCGCGGGGGGCGGGCGCGGGTTGACTGGGGGCGGCGTCGACGCGCGCGCTCGTCGCGCGCGGCGCGGTCGGCCTGGGCGGCGATTGGATGTGCGTGCGCGCGCGTGGCCGGATGTCTTTCCAACGTTCGGCTGTTGTTCGACGGCCTGACTCGCTGGGGCTTCACGCTTGCATCCAGCGCGCGGGCTCCCCGCGCCCGTGGCGTGGATCCAGCCGCGCGCGCGCCCGCGTCGTCATCGTCGTCGGGGTCGTCGGAGTTGTCGGAGGCGAGGTCGTCGGAGCCGGAGTCGCGGGAGGCGGAGTCGTAGTTGGCGGAGTGGTCGGTGTCAGAGTCAGGGTCGGATTCGTCGTCGTCGTTGAATTCGCCGCCGACGTCGTCGAGGAGGCGGAATTCGAGTCGCATTTGGCGTCGCCGTCGTCGTGGACGTCGTGGTCGCCGTCATCGCAGTCGTCGTCGTCGTCGTCGTCGTCGTCGTCGTCGTCGTCGTCGTCGTCGTCGTCGTCGTCGTCGTCGTCGTCGTCTATGTCGCGGGCGGTGCCTGGCCCTCGACAGGCGCCTTGGTGAACGGCGCCTTGGGCGCCGCGTCTGCGGGCTCCCCGGGCGGCGCCTTGGGCGTCGTGGCTGCGGGCGCCGAGGCCGCGGCGCCAGCAGGGGCGCCGGCGCTGCGCCCGCGGGCGCGGAGTCCTTCATTGTTGAGCTGTCCAGTGCATCGACGCCCACGTCGCGCCCCAACGAGGCCCCTGCCCCAAGTGTCGCTGCCAGAAAGCCCGATGTCAGAACCGTGCCCACAGCCGTTGAGAATTGAGGATTTGGCGGAATAGGGCAGGCCGTCAGGGCGCTTCGGAGGTGCAGTGCGCGTGGAAGCCGAGGCTGCGGGCGCTGTGCCGCCGCTGGCCGAGGCCGCGCGCGCTGCGCTGCCGCTGCCGCTGAAGCCGCCGGTTGCGGCGCTGCTGCTGGCCGAGGTTGCGGCGCTAGCAGGGGCCCCATTCGGCGCCCGCGTGCGCGCCTCCACGGTGGAGGTCTCCAACGCAACGTCGTCCACATGTTTTTCCAATTTGGCCCTGGTCCCCCGTGCTAGCGAGCGCAGTTTCACAACCGTGCCAATGGCCGCTGGAGAACCGTGACGCCACCCTTCTCACGGTTGGTCACCAGGCAGTTTAGGTCCATGACATGGAGGGCAGAGGGGGGGCCGCTGACCCGTACCCCAGGGGCGAGGCTATCTGCCAAGGCCGCTAGTGCGCAAGGGTTTGCATGGCAGCCCAGAGGCCCAGCGGGGCGGCCATCTGCCAGGGCCACGGGGGCGTGTGCCGCTAGAGCCCCGATAAGTACGATGCAGAATTACCATCATCACTATCACCGCCAAGCGGACGAACACATACTCATCATCTTCTTCACCACCAATTGACATAACATATTCACCATCATCACTGTTGCCGTCAACGTCACCATCACCACCATCAACATCATTACCGTCATCACCACCATCGCCACCGCTGTCACTTTTTGTGGTCGTCACCACCGTCGCCGCCATCGCCGTTGACATCACTTCCATGAGGAATAATATGGCGAAAACGATACACGACGAATTCGCACGCATGCAAGTTCGAATGATATTTTCCATTTGCAACGGCTAAGGTTCAACCTGCAACATTTTGCTCGTCATCTACCGTACACGGTGTCTGTTCGCCAATGCTACGACCGTGCCTGGGTCGCGGACGTGGGTCGTATTGGAAGATCGGGTTTATGAGGCGCCTCACGGGGGCCTCCTGAAGAACTGCGTGGGGGTTGTTGGGGATAGTTCGAAGGTCCTTGGATGCCGCCTTGGCGCATTTTTGGAAGCCTGTAGAGGTATGTCGTGCGCCCCTGAGATTGTGCTGGCGGTCTCGGGGGCCACGTCGGGGTGGAGGGTTCCAATTGTTTTGTGGAACCTTTTCTCGTAGCAGGTTGTTTGTGGTCTCTGGAGAGATTCGGCGCCGTCCTGGGGCGATGTGAGGCTCCAGTGCGGATTCCAGCATGCGGCGGAATGGATACAGCTGGGCCCATGAACCCCGAAAATATCCATATCCGCCATCTTTGCGGATCCCAGGACGTCGGTTTTTTGGCGGCGAATATGGAAAAATCTTTCGTCGCACACCACCCGCGTCCTTGAGATGTGTAGGCGCTCATAAACGTACAAAAGGGTCCAGCGTTTTGGGCAATGCGATCGTATCCCGCCTGACTATTTTCCTCCCATTCTTTCACGGCGCGGTGGCGTGTCTCTTTCTGCGTTGAACTGTTGAAACACTTGGCGAGAGCTCCGTTTTGCCCAGGAGCCTCCCAACATCCTTGCCAGTGTTGTGCATTCTGGATGCCGTGTTCGTGCCAAGCGAACCCCCCATGGCGAGCAGGAACTTCCGTGCGGCACCTTCGGAAGCTTGAGGGCGATACGCGCGCGGCGCAACTGTGAGAGCCACAGTTTGAAAACAGTCCGCCACCCATCCACGTAGATGGCGTGTGGTGGTTGACTGCGCGCGGCGCAAAAGCCATAGTCGCACTTCTGAGAACCTGTGTTCCATTCGCGCGGCCTTGGTGGGCCCTGGAAATGACAAGACCGTTTTTGTTACCGGTTCCCGTTTGATGTGTTTTGGTCGGTGAGGGCGCCGTAATTTGTTTGCGGTTCCGTTCTTGTTTTTGTTTGCCGTTTCCAGTTTGGGCTCCATTTCCAAAGCAGTTTCTGCTGGCCGTTTCCCGCTGTTTGTTTTTGTTGTTGTTTTCTCCTCTTTTTGTATATATATATATATATATATATATTTTTTTTTTTTTAAAAAAAAAAAAAACACTTGCAATATCCAGTTTTTTTGTACCAAAGGCGAAAACTTAGTCTTGCCGCTTCCAGGGCCGAGCAAGGTGCGGCCGGCTGGCGTTCCAAACTCAAGGATCAGCCATACTGAAAGGGTCGCTGGCCCGCCCTGCTGGCACGCCCTGAGGTGCGGCTCGCACGAACATCTATCAAGGGTTGTGCCCTCTTGCTGTAACTGCTCGCGAAGTGCTTTCTCGCCAACGACCGAAAAAAGACATCTTCGCCTCGATGTGATGGATCGTGCATCCACCGCGGCGGATCCAGGCCGCACGCGAGTAGCTACATCCCGAGTAAGGAGCGTGCTTGTCCAGCGTCGGGGGTAGGGTTCGGAAGTCGAAGAACTCGTAGCGAAATCAAAACCCTGCCACCGCCCCCCATCAATTCAGGAGAATCGATGGCTGGTCGGGGTAATGTTCGGATGTCGGCACCTGCCCTTCTGATTGCTTGCGTGACTAGACTCGTTCCGTTGGTGGGTTTGTTCTCCTGTCGGTTGGCCGGCTGGAAACTCGACTCATTGGCCTGTTGCCCAAATCGATTTGGGCTGCTTGTTAGCCGGCCGGTCGCGTGCGCCTTCAGTTATTTCTCGAGGGTTGGTGGCCTCGGGAGTTCGGTCCCATAGTGATGGATGAGTGCTCGCGACTTCTATTTCCTAGGAGTCGCGGCCCAGGGTCCAAAGCCGAATTTCCAGGGAACAAGGGGCGGAGGGCGAACAGCGCCTCCCGAATTCATCTCTAGGCCTCCTGGATGGGGTCGGAGTTGATGTGGTCGGAGGATCGCGCCGCATCGCCGACGCATCGGCGATGCGGCTCGATGCGGAGACCGGTTGGCTTCACGTGGACGTCGCCTATGCATCGCGGACGTCGACGATGCATCGCCGGTGCATCACCGGTGCATCGCCGATGCATCGCCGCTCTATCGGCCATGCGGCGAGATCCTCCGACCCCACCTGCTCGGACCCAATCTAGGATGCCTCCTATTGTCGGGGCCCTGAAGAATAAACCCTTTTCGTTGGGGAGGGGCTCCGCGTTCCTTCAGTGGTTCGCAGCTTGCCTCAGGTCTTCCTTATGTTTTCGATCGGAAATCGAAGTTTAACTTATGGGAAAAAGTGGCCTCGTTCCTTACTTTGGGTCGCCACGGGGCCTCGAGGTGTGGGGAGCAGGATCAACCCTGGAAGGCGGGCAAGCAGAAGGGCGGGCATGCACGTCGGTCGTTGGAAGCAGGTACTTTTGGACTCTCGGATCCCCATCTGCTCCAGGCGCCTTCCTGCTTCAGGGGCCGCCCTGCCTTTGCGGTGTGATGGGGCTCTGGGCGGGCCGGGACCCCAATCGTTTTCGCCGCCTTCCTCCTGTCTGTTGCCCACTTCGTCCAGCCAGAGGGATCCCAAAATGGCGGAAGCGAATCGCCTCCAGACTACTCCAGATTTCGTAATAAAAGGGAGGGGGTCTGGACCCTCCAAGACAATCCGTTTCAGACCCCCCCCGTGGGAGAGCCCTCCAAAACATCGTCCCCAGACCCCCCAGGCCCTCCAGGATGGCCTGGAAGAGCCCCCCCCCGAAATGAGACCCCCCCTCCCTTTCTTACGAAATCTGGAACACTCTCGATTCTTTCCCCCTGCAGAGGGACGTGCCCGACTTTACAGCGAAGGGGTGGGCACGCGCGAACGCGCTGCGCCGGGGCGCGGCGGCCCCGGGGCCGCGCCGCCGCGCCGCCGCTCTCCCGCCGCGCAGGGGCTGCCCCTCGGCGTGAACCCGTCGGCGCTGCTCATGGCGCGCGTGCGCAAGGCGCTGCGCGGCGCGGCGCGGGCTTCGGCGGCGGCTGCGGAGCGACGGCGGCGGGCGAGCGGCGAGCGCCCGAGGAGGAGGAGGAGGAGGAGGGAGGAGGAGGAGGAGGAGGAGGAGGAGGAGGAGAGGAAGGGGGAGGAGGGGGGAGGAGGAGGAGGAGGAGGAGGAGGAGGAGGAGAGGAGGAGGAGGAGGAGGAGGGAGGAGGAGGAGGAGGAGGAGGAGGAGGAGGAGGAAGGGGGAGGAGGGGGGACGAGGTGCCCATGCCTCTCCGCCCTTCCCTCGTCGTCCCCCTCTGTGGGCCTCCCCAGAGGCCCTCGTCGCCGCCGTGGAGTTCGCCCCGACATCCTGGCCAGAGCGCACCGGGGAGAGGTCCGGGGAGTGGCGGCATCGGAGCCTGTTGGCCTCCCCAGAGGAGGGCGAGGTGAAGACGGCAGTCGGCCTTCGGAGGGGCCCCCTCGTCGCCACGGCTGGGCGCAGCTCGGAGAGTTGATGCGTCGGGACCCGGGTCCAGGGACCGACGTCGTGTTGCCGTCATCTCACCTGGCCATGCTCGGGTTGGACGAAGGCTTGGCATCGCTCGGACGGGTTTTCGGCGAGGGCCATCGAGGAGCATCCTGGCTCATCTGGCGAAGGAATAAGCGCACGAAGCCGAACACACTGCACAGGGAAAAGGACGTCCGAGCGATGGCGAGAGAGGAGAGTGGTGGAGAGAGTGCAGGGCCTGGCGCTCTCCTCGCTACGGTCGGACCGAGGTACAAGGTCGAGGTCGGTTCGGGGAGGATAGTTCTACATCAGTGATATTCGTGTTAACGGGGTCTTATTATTCGGGGGTGGACAGAACCCCCAACAGTGACACGTCGATTAGTGAATGGTCCGTTTTCGGTTCTCGAGAGGGCGCCGTTGCCGTTATTTTCCAGGCTTGCGCCCGCCAGGTTTGGGCCTCAGGTCGTTTTCCATAAACCACGTTTTACTAAGGGGGGGTCTGTCCATTCCCGAATTATGCATTCTTGGGATGGCGACCCTTGATGTTCTGTGTGTGTGCGTGTTTTGACAGGCGGAGGGTCACATGATCCTCGAATGTTCTTCAGTTTGGGCTGGCAGAGGGTCTCATGTTCCTGAAGGGTGGTCTTCTGTCCGAGGTCCGACCGTACACTACCGCCTTCGGCGCCAGGCAGAACAGCTACGCGAGCTGATTCGCTAACCTACACCGGTGCTACTCCCCCCTGTCGTCGGACCAGATCTGCTTCAAAAGGCGACGAACGAGAGAGACGAGCGTACGACGGACGAACGAAGCAGGACGAACGGACGACGATCGGCAACGACGGACGGCTGACGAGCGAACGACGCACGACCGACGAACGACGACGGACGACGAGCGATCGACGACGCACGAACGAAGACTACGGAGAGTGGCGACGGCGAACGGCGGAGGCGGGCACGGGATTGAGACCGCGGGGGATTGTGCACATCCGCCGCCCGGGGGAGCTGGTCGTCCTGGACCTCGGAAGGCTGTGGGTGTGGATGTGTCTTCCTCCTCTCCCTCCTCTTTTTCTTCCTCCTCCTTCTCTTACTCTTCGTCCTCCTCCTTCTTCTCCTCCTCTCCTCCTCCCCCTCCTCCTCCTCCACCTCATCCTCCTCCTCCTCCTCCTCCGCCTCCTCCTCCTCCTCCTCCTCCTCCTCCTCCTCCTCCTCCACCTCCTCCCCTGGCCCAAGGTGCCCCCAGCTGTTCGCTCCATGCTGGAGCCCCGGGGACCCTCTGGGCCTCGCGAGGGGTGCCCCGGAGGCCGAGGCCGTGGGGTCGAACCTCGGGAAGCCTCGGGCCACCCCTGGGCCAGCTCTCGAGGACGTGTCCGCGCCCTTTTTTTATTCCTCCGCCTGGCTCCAGCCTCCTCCTCCTCCTCCTCCTCCTCCTCCTCCTGGCGGCTGCTGTAGCTTCGAGCCTCGGCGGGGACGGCTCGCGGCAGCTGCGGGCCTCGGTGGCCACGGCTCCAGCTTCGAGCCTCGGTGGCTCGAGGGGCAGGCCTAAGTCGGGCCTGTCCCTCTACAGGAGGGACATGCAAAACTAGTCGAACAGATGCCTGGGGACTATTTTTTGAACTATGCTTGAGCATTCGGGGAGTATTTTTTGAGCATCTTTCATTTTTCGCCCAACATCCCCCTGTAGGGGGACAGGCCCGACTTCAGGGTAGGCTCCGGGGAGGGGGGGGGGAGGCGTCGACCCCCCCCACCGCCCACGCCTCGCCAATCGGGGGGGGGGGCCCGCCGGCCCGCCCCGCCCGGGAGCGTGCGGATCGGACATCGGGGGCCCGTCGCCGGGCTGTCGGCGATGCATCGCCCGTTCCCGCGGAAGATCCCCCCCCCCCGCCGATGCATCGCCCATTCCCGCTGAATTTCCCGCTGAATTCCCGCGCCCCCCCTCGGATCCAGGAAGTCGGGATAGAACTGGCCGGGCCCGCCCTGCCGCTGCTTCCAGCCCTGCCCAGTGCCCCCATCCAGCTCTTCCAGCCTCGACGACCCGATCCCACCAGTGTCGCTTCTCCTCCCCGTTCTCTGCATCCTCCCCCGCTGTCCAAGCCGATCTGCAGTTGGAAGCTGATCACGTCAATAGGCGCCCAGAGGATTGTCGACCGTGCTCACAGCTTGAGCCCTCGCTGTCGCATAGTTGGTGTGCCACATGGTATGCAAACCATCCGTTTTGTCGGTCGTGTTCCACTCTCTGGGCCCAGCCATGCATCTTGCCATTCACCATTCTTGCATCAATGCCATTATGGCGTCAATGCGGCGGCCATGCTGTGGAGATGCTTGTGGTATCTTGCCGACCATGCTTCTTGACTGTGGTTTCACATGACGAGCATGCGTGCTTTGTCACCGCAGCCAGGCCCGCGAGAGACTCCAGGGTGGATACCTTCCAGGGCCCGCCTGATGATAGCAAGGGTGACGACGGTTGCAGCTCGCGTCAGTGGTCCGTAGCATGTTCCATGCGTGTGAGTTGACATAGCGTATGATACAGACATTGTTTTGGTTGGTGTGCCTGCTGATGCCGCATGAGCTTTTTCAGATTGCAATGCAGCCGCCCGCACAGGTTCACGAGTTCAGTGGTTTTAATGGCATTTCAAGTTCATGGGCGCGTTTCGTAGACAATCATTTGTGGCTGTCGTTTGTGGCTGTCATTTGTGGGCTGAACTGCGATTGAAGAAATGACCACCTCCCTTCCTCTAATCTGCCTTCCCTCGGGCAATGACTCTGGAAATCAGTTATCGTCCCCCCCTGTCGGTGAAGCTATTTCGATTCTCGCCACTGGAAGTGATCAAGATCCTGATGGGATTCCGAGAAGGCCCTTATCGGATTCCAATGAGAGCCCAAGAGGATTGCAACATGAACCTTGTAATATCCCATTGGATTCGAAACAGCTTATGATAGGTTTCAACGAGGACCCTAGTAGGATCGGATCCAAGTGAACTCCACCGTGGGACTCCCCCATAGGTGTCCACCATGAGAGTCCCCCATCGGATTCTCCACATGGGACCTCTTCCCTAGGACCTCTCTTGGGTTGTCTTGCCTTTCTTTCCCTCACCTTCTGATTATGTTTATTTGATGTTGCGTGGTGCCAACTATATCGCTCAATTGCTCCACCCCCCGCAGGAATTTATACATCATTTTGACAGCTACAGATAACGCCGGCCAGGGGATTAAGAAGTATGTATCAGGGTTGTTTGTCTGGGGACTTTTGACAGCCTCCTCCTTCCCCCCCGTCTCCCCCCCCGTCTCATCACCTCCACCCTCCCCCCTTGCTCGGCCTCCGCTCCCCGCTGCAACTCCCCCTGCCTCAGCTCCGTCCAGCTCCCGAAGGCCGACGAGCAGGACGAGCACGAACTGGACGAACCGAACGCGGGGAGGACGAGGATGGGGACGAGGACGAGGACGAGGACGGGGACGAGGACGAGGACGAGGACGAGGACGGGGACGTCGGGGCGGACGAGCCGCACGGGGGGCGACGACGAGGACGAGGACGAGCACGCGCGGAGGCCCGGGGGGCCGCGGGCGCGGCAGGCCCAGCGCCGGGGCGCCGCTGCCACCCAACGGCCAGGCGAAAGCCCCCGCCGCTGCCCCGGCCTGCAGGGATCGTCGTCGTCGTCGTGGTCGTGGTCGCCCTCGTCGTCGTCGCGGTCGTCGCCGCCGTCGTCGCGGTCGTCGTCGCGGTCGTGGGCGTCGTCGTGGTGGTCGTCGTCGTGGTCGTGGTCGTGGCCGCCGCCGCCGTCGCGGTCGTCGTCGTGGGCGCGGTCGTGGTCGTCATCGTCGTCGTCGTGGTCGTGGTCGTGGTCGTGGCCGTCGTCGTCATCGTCGTCGCCGTGATGCTTTCCTCGATGATCTACGTTCAATCACCGGAGCTATCGTGGGTGTTTTGGATCAGGCCCCCTGAGAGCAGGAGACAGTTTATCAGGACACTGGCAAGTCGGGGAAACGATACCCGTTCCTGCAATGCTAGATTTAGTCGTCCGGTGCAATATTTGTTTCTGCTCTGCAGGATTCGGTTTTTTGTGTTGGTTTGGATTGTTTTGCAGGCTTGAAGGGCCTTTGTCCAGGTTTATCATGGGAATGTTGCAGTGCAGATGTTTCTTCGTGTTGACGTCTAGAAGAAATTGGTTTCGAGGGATGTTGGATGTCCTGGTCTACAGTGTCGGGGTTTACGGGGCCTGGATTGGGACTGTCGTCGCCGTCGTGGTCACCGTCGTAGTGGTCGTCATGGTGGTTTGCTGCCGTCGTCGTGGTCGTCTTCGCTGTGGCACCTGTCCTGGAGGTTCGAGGTTCGCGGGTATTTGTTTTTTTTGTTTTCATGCCTCTACACGCATCCCAGAAGAGGTCCAGAGGTCGTCGTGGTTTTGTCCTCGTCGGCTTCCTCCTCTTTCGCTCTCCTTCTGCTCCTACTTGTTCCTCCTCCTCCTCCTCCTCCTCCCCCTTCACGCCCCCCCCCCTGAGGCATGAGGAAGACGTCGGTCGGCGTCGGTTGCGTTTGGGGGTCGAGCATCGAGGGTCAAGGCTCGACGAGGATCGAGGGCCGAGGCTCCCGGGACGGACTTCCTGCTGCCCCTCCCCGGGCGTCAGAGGCCTCCCTGCAGAGGCGCCGCAGGGCTTCCCTGGACCTTCAGAGGCCTCGGGGAGGGGCCGGGATGGGGACCTCTGGAGGCCTTCAGATGCGGAGGTCGTCGTCGTCGTCGCCGTCTTCGTAGTCGAGGGGCGAGGGGTCGAGGAGCGAGAAAGATGCCGTCGGCGGCGAGCGAAGGGGGGAAGTGAGAATAACAAGGCCTCTTCAGAAGGCGGCAGGACTTCTCAGAAGCCCTCGCGCCTCCTGGGAGGTAGTTTGTGTCGTCGGGGAAGGCCTGGACAACTTGGCAGAGGTCTCGCGGCCTTCCCGGCCTTCTGAGAAGGCCCCTTCCCTTCTCGCTTCCCCCCCAGGCTCGAGGTCGAGGACTGAGGTCCGAGCGTGATCGTGTCTCGGGGGCGTGGATAAGGGTGCGAGGGCCTGGATCGAGGGTCCAGGTCGGAGCCCCCGGTCGCCCTTGTGCCCACAGCGGCTCCCTTGGCGAGCGCGGTGCGGTGCCTACCCCGCTGGGCTGTCCGTCCCCCCTCTGCAATGTCAGTCTGTGCTCAACAACAACAAAAAGGCTACACCCCCCGGGGGTGATGAATAGACCCCGCGTTGGGCGAAACCTTTTTGTTGATCACGCGCGCCAGGGGGTCGTCGCTGGCGCCGCCGAGGGGATTGTGCACCCCCCTGCATGACAGCCTCAAAACGATTGTTTTTTGTATCGAAATGGTTATCAGGGTCAAACGCATCCGAGGCGAATTCTTGTTCCCCCTCGTCGTCGTCGTCTTCTTCTTCTTTTTCATCATCGTCGTCCTTGTCATCGTCTTCGTCGTCGTCGTCAACAGCGGGCCGACGCAGCCCCCCCCATAGGGCATCCGCAGTGCGTCGTCGTCGTCGTCTCCGCCGTCCGTCGTCCTCGTCCTCGTCCCGTCGTTGCCGTCGTCGTCGTCGACGAAGAACGCGGCCGTTGGAAACGGGCGCGGCAGGGCGGGGGACCGCGGCGACGACGGCGACAGAGGGGGGGAAGAGGACTACCCACCTTGCCGGGATCGGACGAGAGGCTGGGGAAGGAAAAGGAGGGTTGCAAAGCCTGCTGCGCGCAGCTGGTTTCGGTCGCCCCGCCAGAGGGCCAGTCCTCGACGCATGGCTGGTCTCGGCGCCAGGAGGCGTTTGGAAAATCGGCGACGTGAGCTGCTTGGAAAATCCCCCTTTTGCTGCGCCCCACCTTCGTCCAGCCCGCCTTGCCCGTTGGCCCTCATCGGTTCGACAAAAAGAGGGGCGCCCTGGCTTGCCCTTGCCTCCAAACGCCCCCCCCCTTGCCCCTCGTTGGCGACTGGGCGTCGGCGCCAATCACCAGCGCCGCCCCGTTGATTTTCAATCTGGCGGGCGCCTCTCCGCGATTCGCCCGAGCCGGGTTTTTTTTTGTTGTTCTCGCGCGCGCACCCCACGGATTTGGTAATCACAATCTGACATTCGCCCACCCCCGGCCTCGTCTTTGCGGCCGGCTCCGGGTCGCCCACACGGGAAAGATCGAGGATCGAGGATATACGGGGCTCTGCGGGGCGAGTGGCTGGAAAAACGGAACGGGGAAGGAAGGATGATGAGGAGGAGGATGACAAAGAGGAGGAGGAGGAAGAGGAGGAGGAAAAAGAGGGGGAAGAGGAGGAGAGAGTAGGAAGAAGAGGAGGATCAGCAGCTGGGCGTCGCAGGATCGAGGATCGACTCGGGGGGTTTTGAGGCGGGCAATTGGCCATACCGTTGGTGAGCCAGCGGGGATCCGAGGTGGCCGCACGGTTTTGGGACTTGGTGACGGGGGTTGACCGCACGTCGTTATCCGAGTATTATTCGGTCAAGTGGGGCTTCTGGAACGGACTTTGCGGCGAGGTACCTGGAAGTTTTGAAGTCACCGTATTGTCTGTCACCACGCCGTTTTGGACCCCCCCAGTGTAAAGGATCGACGCCCCCCCCCCCGCAGAGTGCTTTCAATTACGTAATTGGGTCTTGAGTGAATGAAGGGTTGGGACGAGTTTTGCTTGCTTTTGTTTGCTGGAGATAGCGGTTTAAAGTGGTGTGGGCGTTTCGTGGGCGCCCAACATCGGATGATATTGGACGGAGGACGAACGTGTTGATTGCTTCCGTCTGTTACCGTCCAGCTTTGCTACACGATGTCCGTCGGTCGCCATATTGTGGCAGCGGTGGGAATTAAACATAGCTGTTTCGCCGGATAGGCGGGCAGGAGCAAAACAGGAGCGGACGCATCCGCGGCATTTGGATATGATTAGTCGCCGGCATTTGGATATTATTAGTCCGTGCGATTACATTACGAGCGCAGGAAAATCGACCGATTGTTCCCTACATCGTTGCACCATGGCGAGCCTCATTCGTGAAGCATTGTTTCCTACTTTCTAGCGGAGCGGGCTGCACACTTGTGTGGCTGGTTCAGTTGCTCACACTTTCAACGGTTATATGCGGATTATTTTTATGGATTACCATGCGCCGACATCCTTTCGGGGAGCAGGGCTATGAAACTGGCGTGGACAGCCTGGTCGTTGGCCAGTGTTCGGCAAAAACCGACGCCCAGCAACATGTCTAACGACGACCACGGCGCTTTTGCCGACCATCTTCGATATTTTCCATATGATCCGTGGTATGTCCAACGGCTCAACGACAGTATTTTCCGCGCGACGACTGCGATCAGCTTGGAAGCAGGTTTCCATTTTCTGATGGATTGGTAAATCCACATAAATATGCAACCGCTGCCTTTGCGACGCTTCGCAGCAACACGCCGCCAGGGGAACAGACCACCCCCACCTCGAGATCGCCTTATTTGGTATCATATGGGTGCGACATTTAAACCAACAGATTTCAAACAGTCGGAAGACGAACGCCGTTGATGTCAGTGTGCTTGCAGGAAAACGGAACGATGCGACATTCGTTATTTTCGAGATGGTCACGTTCGAAGCTTCACCCGTCCCTTTCGACATCCACAAATTCCGCATCCTGCCATTCTCTTGTTCCGACCCTTACACATCGGACCCGCGCGCGTCGCATATTATCCAGCTGCTGAACCACCACATGCCAGGAACCCAGGTGGCGTGCGACTGTTTACTTAGACGAACGCGTTCCCTCGGCGACTTGCCCGATATATCCCCTGTTCCTGATATGTGGGGTGTTTGGTCGAGGACGCGGCAGCGCGTCACATTGCATGAACTTCCAACAGACAAGCGGCTGCAAGACATGGTCACATAACCCATAGAGGCATGACCCTCCTGACCAGCCAGGCAATTTGCAGCCAGGGGGCTGGAAGTAACGATTCGTTACGCTGTCCAAAATGGGCCAGCTGAACTGGAACTGACTTCACCTTTCAGCTCGGGCACGGATGCAAACGCCGTGTCGCCGGATGGCATTGAACCGACCGGCCAGTCAGACGAACGCAATCTACAGACGAGGAACAGCTGGGTTTCTTTAGTACGCAATGCGCCATGCGAGGAGAAGGTGAGTGAGGTTGATGCATGAGCCAGTACGACGTGCGCACATACATTTATGACACGCGCTGCACATGACAGGTTGCGGCAACGTTAAGGGTGGAAAGAGGAGGATAACGAATGCGCAGCAAGGGTCGTCCATCGGTCGTGCATCGGGGATATTGCCTGCGGAAGAAAGAGCATGCGTCGCGGGCGACGAGCTACCAATGCCAGGAAAAGGCTGTAGCCTGACACCCATGTGTAACCGTCGTAGGGCGTGCAATACTTGTGGATCCCCCCGGGCATGTCGCCTCGCAGTGCAGCAATGGGGAAGGTAACGGAGGCGGGGATGCATCTGCTCATGCGGGTTCAGGCCGCGTTGGGTGCGCTGCGTACGACCAACTCTTCATTGAAAGTGGACCTAGTCGTCTAGCGCTGCTCTTCGCTCGCATGGATGTATTCAGTGAACTCGAGGCCGACGTGGATGTTCGACGCCATGTGAATGCCAAACTTGCAGATGCCAGCTACTGTCGAGCAGTCGGCCAGGCTTCGATGACCAGCCCGACGAGCTCGGCGCCGAGCTGGAGCACGGCGAAGCATCCGAGAACAACGATCATCTCATGCCGAATATCTACGAGGCTAACACCGTGGAGTTCTCCTCTTAACGCGCGCTACCATCCTCGCTTCGTGACAGTCATCTGGCGCCGATGACGCCAGCCACGCAGCTGGGGATCGACGCGGCGCTCGGCGACGATCCAACATCAGGGCCTCGGCGCACTGGCAGCCTCCGCTGGGAACGGCGACCAGCAACCAGTCACTGCAGGAGATCCACGCGCCGGTGCCCACGCACTGCCGGCAGACACTTGCACGGCCTCCGCCGCATGTCGACGCCGCCGAGTGTTTCATCGGCTGGGGCGGCGAGGGCAGAGGCGCGGGCGGCGCAGGGTCACGCGGGCGCGATGGCGGTCGATGCTGAGACTTCAACGCGCGGGAATGTAGCGACACGGGAGGCGCGATCGTCCGCGCGCACTTTAACCGCGCAGCGGATGCAGAAGGTTTGTCGAATTTGCACGCGCTCATCTTCGCTAAATCATCGGCCAGGTTGTGGATGCACTGGGGGCCCGGCAAGTCGGGTCGAACATGTGGCGCAATATGCCGGGGGTGATGTTGAGGGCCCAGGGCTGCCAGTTGGCCCCCGACTCGAAGTGCGCCGCGCATCTCCGCGGCGCAGCCCCGCGCAGGAGCGGGCGCGCCCAAGGTGGCCAGCGCGGCAGCGCTCAGAGGCCGCGACCCAGCCCGATCCTGCGCCGTGCAGAAAGGTTGCTGAGGCACAGGCGCCTCCGACGCCCCAAGCCGTTCCCCGTCGTCGCGGGGGGCCGCGCTTGAAACTGTCACCCGCGCCCACGAGTGCCTCGCGACGGGCGAGCAGCACCCGTGGCGCCCGCGACCCTCCAGTCAGACAGGGGCGATGAGGGCTCGAGAGCGCGTTCTGCGCGCGGTGCGCGGCGACGCGATATCACCGCAAGATGAACAGATGAAGGCGCGGGTGTGCCATGCGGCCGCGCTTCTGCACCATAGTTTGCAAATGGGGGTCCGGGGCGCGGGGGGGCCTCGCGGGGCGCGGGGGAAATGCGAGGGCTCCTCGCGACGAGGAGGGGCGCCAGGCGATGGCTCGCCAGCTGGGGGCCCAGACGCCGCAATCTCATGGAGAAGCTGACGATGCCGCGGCGATTCCATTCGCCATGCTCTCCGAGAAGAGGGGCGCGAGAGCGCCAGCCTGAAAGACGCGGCTGGTGCGTCGTCATGGGCGCAGTCAGGGGGTGGGGGCCGACCCGGCAGTTATGCCCAGGGCCACGGGCCAGACCGAATGCGCCTCAAACTCTTTCGGGTGGGCCAAGGTCGAGGCCGCTATCGAAGGCGCCGCGGTTGGCCTGTGCGTCGAGCGACCCCTGGGCGACAGACGCAGCTCGGCAGCGAGCGGCGGAGGAGGCGACCAGATCCGGGAAGCTCGGGGAGGACGCCGCCGATGGGGAGGCCGACCATGCGCATCTCGATCTCGAGCAAGATCCGAGACCCCAAGCCGACCGATCTCGCGATGACAGCCTGGGGGCTCTGCTGCGACGCGGTCGGGCTTCTTCGGCTCAGCGACCCCCCTGGCAATCGGGCCATCCGCCTTCGAGTTCTGCGACCCAGCGCCGTATCCGAAGGGGCCTGCTCCACGGCAACCCATGGTTGCGCGTCGGACGACGCCGGCGCCGCGAGGATCTTGGAACCCGACTTCCGAGAAGCCACCGTCGTTGTCAACGGGCACGGGGTCATCGTCGCGTTTGGCGGCGGGCTCGGCTGGGATGCCCGCGCAGGCGCTACGTTGGCCGCGCGAACAAGGACAGCATCGATAACCACGAGGGCCTGCAGGGACACCTGCCATTCAGCCTGCCGGGCCACCTGCCGCGCAGACTGCAGAGGCACCTGCCGCCCAGGCCGCGGCCTCGTCTAGCGCAGTGCGCGCTAGTTGGCCAGCTGACGCGCGCGACGCCAGCTGCTCCTACGACGGCGACAGCCCGCGCCCGGACGCGCGCCAACGACGCCGCCCTGCATTCGAGCACAGAGAACAGCAGCGAGCGCGCAATTCGTGGCAAGCGCAAGCAGCGGGCGCGCGGCCGGCGTCGGATGGGCGGCGCGCGCGTTGGGGCCGGCGGCAGATATTGTTGAAATTCTCCGACTTCGGTTGGCCGCGTAGTATGGATGAGCGATGTTCCAAGGTCACCTTTTGCAACCTTTCCCTTCGGCCCATCCTGGGCCGCTCTCGCTGGCCGCGCTCCGCCCGCGAAGGGTCGGCATGGCTCTCCGAGCCCTTGCGTCCTTTTCGCGCGTGCTGATTATACGGGTTGAGTGCATGGGGGGAGAGGAAGAGGGAGGTGAGGTGAGAGGGAAAAGGAAGAGGGGGAGGGGAGAGGGGGCAGGAGGGGGGCGGAGGAGGCATGGGTGGGGGAGGCGACGGTGGAGGAGGGGAGAACAGTGCCATGGGTTTGACGTGTGAGAGGGAGAGAGCACCACGGACGAGTGTTAGGGCGGACGGGCAGCAGAGATGAGAGGGGGCATGGGGGGGGGGAAAACATTTGGGGAGCAGGAGGATGAGGGTGACGATGGCGATGATGATGATGATGATGATGGCGATGATGATGATGATGGTGATGATGATGATGATGATGATACTGATGATGATGATGATGATGGTGTTGATGATGATGATGATGGTCTTGATAGTGATGGCGATGACGATACTGCCCGTGATGTTGATGATTTGTATAATTCAGTTGACGATGCCGATGACGACGCCGATGATTGCAATGCTGAGGGCGGGGATGATGATGGTGATGATGATCTGGGTGATGGGGATGATGCGGTTGTTGCTGATGGTGGTGATGATGATGTGGATGGGTAGTGATGTTGATGGTGACGATCACCATGATGATGATGGTGATGAGGAGGAAGAGTTTGATGGGGATGAGGATGAAGATGTTGATGATGATGGAATTATGACCATGGTGATGAGGATGAGGAGGATATGGGTGATAGTGATGATGGGTAGATCGTGATGGCGATGATGATGATAATTGATGATGGGTATGATGATAATGTTGCTGATGATGATTGTGGGCTCGATGATGATGTTGGGGAGGATGAGGTGGACGAGGAGGAGGAGGACGCGGAGGACCAGTGCAAACCCAAGAGTCATCAACGATGTCATCAACGATGTTGGAACACACGCTCCTCCAAGCTCGCTCTCCGCGAGAACATACAGGAGTTCATGTTCACCGAAGGAATTGCCCCGCTGGGAGACAACCGTGGGAACATCCGGGGAGAAACATAACAGCATTTTCAAGACATCGACGCCACGAGTCAATCTGAAAGTTGCATATTGACGATCCTAACTCGCGCAAGACAACCATTCCTGGGACCCCAGCGCCGCGAATCAATGTAATTGTTTCGCCTTGGCAGTCCTGAGTTGTTCCACGACGCCGTTTCTGGCACGTTGACCCTGGGAACCGCAAATTCTTGCAGATGTGTGGGACGAATGTGCGTGGCGACAAGGCGAGAGCCACATGTCACATTTTGACAACGAGCCGCGCTAAGTCCGTTATTGCTTGTGTGTGAAAACGGATGCGCGCGGAGTTGAAGTGCGAGGCACTGCTCGGAAACGACCTGCCCTCAACATGCGAAGGTCTTGCAAATTCTTTAGACGAGTGCGTGATGCGCTGAGGCGAGAGCCACATTTTGAAAACCACCTGTCCTCAGTCCGTGAAGCTCATGCAAAAGAAGAAGACGAGTGTGCGCGCGGCGTTGCTGCGGGAGCCGTATTCTGAAGACGGCCCGTCCTCCATGTGTGATTTGGTTTGCAGATTCTAAGGTTCAGGCTTACAAGTGGTCAGGAAGTCTCAGGCGAAACGCCCAGACCGCCCTTCCGACGGGCGTCGGGGTGCCACTGGGAGAATTTGATCATAAGGAAAAAGGAATGGAGAAGGAGGAAGAGGAGGAGGAGGAGGAGGAGGAGGAGGAAGATAAGGCTGTGGGGGGGCTGTGGGGGTGCTGTGGGGGAAGAAGAGGAGGAGGAGGCGAAGGAGGAAGACGAGGAGGAAGAGGCGAAGGAGGAGGACGAGGAGGAGGAGGAGGAGGAGGAGGAGGAGGTGTTCATTCTTCGTCAGGAAAAGGAATGGAGGTGGCGCCGGGTCGTGCCACGCCGCAGCGGGCCACCGCCGCAGGCCGACGACGAGCTCCGAGAGGCCGTGGAGCGCTTCCTGGTGTCCAACCAGGCCCGCCCCCCCTGGCGCCCACCTCCTCCCACGCTCCTGCTTCTCCTCCTCCTCCTCCTTTTCCTCCTCCTCTCCTCCACTCTCCTCCTCCTCCTCCTCCTCCTCCTCCCTCCTCCCTCCTCCTCCTCCTCCTCCTCTCCTCCTCCACCCTCCCGCTTCTCCTCCTCGTTTTCCTCCTCCTCCTCCTCCTCCTCCTCCTCCACTCTCCTTCTCCTCCTCCTCCTCGTCCTCCTCCTCCTCCTCCTCCTCATTCTCCCCCTCCTCGAGTGAGGTGGGCGGCACCTCCCGGCGTCCGTGGGAACTGAAACCCGCTTAGTCGTGGCCTCTTTGGTGGCCGCGCCACTGTCGTGGGTGGGTGGGGGGATTCGGCAGTGGGGGCTTCGACCCCGGCTTTCGGGCCTAAGCCGTAAACCCGTTTCGGCTACGGCCGGTTCGGGTCCCCTCCATTGTCTTGGCCCGGCGACTCCCCGGTCGCGCCAGGGTGTGGAGGGAAAGTCTGGCTTCGGCCAGGCTTATGGGGAGTCCTGCTCTGCCCCCCTTGCTCAAGGGGACGGGGGAGCAGGCCAAGGCACCCGCCCCGAGACTCGCACCAGGTGCCCCTCCTGGTCACGAGGGGTGTCCTGTGTCCCCGGCCAGAGCCTGGAGTGCTTGGCCGGGTGGCAGGGGGGCCGCCTCCTTTTGGGGGGGTCGGTCTTGGAGGCGTAGGACGTGCACGTGCACCTCTGAGTCCCGCCCCCCTAGGCCGGTCGAGGCTTGGAGCGACCGAGGTGCGCTAGGCCACTCCCAACACACTGCTCATGCCCAGGCAGCGTAGGGTTTTTAATTGTTCTTTGACTGGCGCCGCCAATCCTATCCTATCCAATCCTATCCTATCCAATCCTATCCTTCTCTTCCTCCTCCTGCTCCTCCTCCTTCTCCTCCCCCCCCTCCTCCTCCCATTTCTCGTGGGGTGGCCGAGACGCCATTCGCAGTCCCTGGGTGCTCGGCTGAAGTGGAGTTCCGCGGCGCGGGTCCCGCTTGCTGTCGTTTTGCGCCGTCGCCCCACCCGCGAATTCCCCTTCGACCCGCCCCGCGATCCACCCGCGACCCGGCCCGCGACCCGCCCGCGACCCATCCACGACCCACCCCGCGACTCACCTGCGACCCTTCCCGCGCCCAGCCCCCCATTCTAATCCGCAACCGCGAGGTGCTATAGATCCCTTCCACTTACCCGCCTGCTGGTTCTAGGCGGTCGGGCCCTGCTCCTTGTTCCTCCTGGGCGGCCGCCTTCGTCTCTCACTGCCTCCCGCGCGGCCCGTGTCGGGCGCTCCCCGCCATTGCCGATTCCGCACGTGCGTCCGCGGGCATTGCCGATAAAACAAATAGATCGGGCTTTGCGTAACGGGGTGGCGTTTAATGGGGGGAGTGATGAAACGGAAGGGTTATTTTTTTTTGCGCCCTAGATGGCCCGTGGGGCCCAAAATGGGTGCGAAAGGTTCACGCTTCCCCCGTAATCGATCGCCCCCAACGAAGCAATGCCCAGAAGTAAACGTTCTTTCGGGACCCCCCTGCCCCTCTTTTTTTCACTCGGCCTAGCGATCACCCGCACTTTCCCCAGCACGGAATGCCCCCAGCAGCGTTTTCATCCCTATTGGAAGTAACTCCCCGCGCAGCTGCCTGCATCAGCGTGGTTTGGACCGCCCTTTCATCGGAGGCGCTCGTGTGCGAGAATAGGATACGTAGCAGCCCGCAGTCGCGGATCAGAGTGGGGGGGGCGGCGGGGACGTCGGCAGCCTGAGAGGCTCTGAAGAAGTCCCCCGCAGGCGCCTAAATTTTACAAATCATAAATGAGCCCGCCGCAGGCGCCGATTTGACGTTAAAGCCATGTGGGTGAGTCGCGGGTGGGTCGCGGGCCAGGTCGCGGACCTCGTCGCGGGTGGGGGTTCGCGGGTGGGTCGCGGTGGTCGCGTGGTGGGTCGCGGGGTGTTTCGCGGGTGGGTCGTGGTGTGGGTCGCGGGTGGCTCGCGGGCCAGGTCGCGGGCCAGGTCGCGTGTGGGTTGTGGGTGGGTCGCGGGCGGGTCGCGGGCGGATCGCGGGCGGGTCGCGGGCGGGTCGCGGGCGGGTCGCGGGGTGGGTCGCGGGGTGGGCCGCGGGGGGGATGGCGCCAAGCAGCATCAACAACAACAATAACAACAACCACAACATCAACAACAACAACAACAACAACAACCACAACCACAACCACAACCACAACACTAGCAACAACAACAGCAACAACACCACCAACAACAACAACAACAACAACACCAACAACCCTTGCAGCAGCAAAAGCAACAGCAGCAACAACGACGCCAACATCAACATCAGCAACAACAGCACGAATCCGTATCGCGGCTTCCCGCTCCAACCACGCACCCAGGGACAGTGAATGACCATTCGGCCTCTTCACCCTGATAACGCAATCCGTCCTCCTTTCCATCTCTCTTACCCTCAATGCTCCGCTGTCTCCTCCTCCTCCGCTCCCTCCTCCACCCTGCCCTTCGTCCATCACTCCTGTTCGTCCTGATCATTTCCCTTCTCATCCGTCTCCACCTCCTCCTCCTCTCCTCCTCCTCCTCCTCCTCCTCTCCGTTGCCATTTTGGTTCAGAGCGTTTCGTCCCGAGGCGATCTGCGCGACTCGGGGCCCCCTGCCCCGCTCTCTTCGCCGTCCTCCTCTCGCCGCTGCCGCCGGGCTCTCACTCCGCCGCGCGCCCTGGCCTCTGGTCCCGCGGGTCGCTGGCACCGCCCTCGCGGGAGGGGCAGTGGCGCCCACGCTTGCGGCGGCCCATGGGCCCAATCTTCCCCTTCGGCCCCTGGGGGCGGAACCGCGCCCCCGTCTCGGCGTCGACAGCAGAGCACAGCAGAGCTCGGAGCAGCCCGAAGTCAGATTCAGGGTGTTCATGCGAATGTCGAAACAGATGCAGCAGCAGTCTACGAATGATTGTGTTGCCCAGATCAAGCGTCTTCGGGATCAGGCCATCCATGAATTAACCATCGAGCAGGATGGAAGCATGCGTGGCATTCTTGATGAGCCTCAAAATCAGGTGAAGTCTCGTCGTAGTAGGCATGATGGAGCATGTCCAGTAGTAAGCACGATGGAGCAGTGTACGTAGGCGGGTAGGTTTGCAATCCAGAGTAAGGTGACGGTGTGGGCAAGCACGTGGTTGCCCTGCGATGTCCAAGAATTCTCTCAGGTAGTGATTCGTATACCTCCGGATGCTTTGGTAATGATGAGTGACTGGGAGCGTGAGGGCAGGAAAGATAAAGATGTAGTTTTTGCTCTGGTAGTCGAGTCGAGCAGGAAATGTAATTGTCCTTGCCGTGCTTGGCGGACTAACTCAGGCCTGCTTGTGGCGCTTGTCCTGGTGGCTGGCGTTGACGTCGTCCGTGATGTTCTTGTTGTGTTCGTATTCATTGTTCTGGTTGTCGTACTCGCGCCTGGGGGTGTAATACATCACGTTGTCGTACATGACGCCCGTGCCCTCCAGCTTCGGGAGGTCGTCGACGTAGTGGTCTTACAGCGTGGTGTCCAGGTTCCGCACGAGCTTGAAATCCGTATCGTCGCCCTTGATGCTTTTCCACTTGTACTCCTCGGTGTACTTGCCGAGCTCGTCGTGGATTCGTCTGTGGTAGTGAATTCCGTGTGGAGGTTGGCCGTCGCAGGTACCACGTCGTTCTGCGCGCAATAGTTGTACACCAGGATCTTGTCCAAGTACATCACCTTATAATTTGTGTTATTCTGGAAAAGCTTGTCCTGCACATTATCCTTGATGAGGCCAACGGACAACTTCTCAGTCGTAGCTGTCGTTGCGTGCAGGATCTCACCTGTCGGCTGGTACCAGAGCCCCACGTTCAAATGTTACGGATACTTCTCTGCGCTCATGTAGATGTAGCATTGGTGAGCGACCAATGAGTTGGGTTTGAGCGGCACCAGGTCGCTGTTTTCGCCGTGGATCGATCCTCCTCCACCTTCTCCTCTTCCCCCCTCCTCCGTCCTCCTTGTTCGTCATCCTTTTCCTTATCCTCCTGATGCTGTTTCCACTTCTTCCTCCTCCCTCCTCCCTCCTCCTCTCTCCTCCCCCCTCTTCCCTCCTAGGTTATCCTCCTGCTCCCCCTCTCCTCCTCCTCTTCCTCCTCCTCCTCCTCCTTCTTCTCCTGCTCCTCCTCCTCCTCCTGCTTGCTCGACTTTCTCCTCCTCCAGCCTCGTCCATCCTCCGCCTCCTCCTCCCTTTGGGCCCCTCGTGCGTCCGGCCCCTGAGGTGGACGTGTCCGCGTCCCAGGCGCTGCGCACGGCGCCCCCGGAGGCGTGGCCCTGCCTCGTCGTCGCCCGCTTCTCCGTCTTCCTCGTCGTCCTCCTCCTACCCCTCGTCCTCGTCGTCGTCCTCCTCCTCCGCCTCCTCCTACTCCTTCTCCTCCTCCTCCTCCCCCTCCTCCTCCTCCTCCTCCTTCTCGTCCGCAACCCCTTCCTCCCTCCTCCTCCCCCTCCTCGCCCTATTCCTCATCCGCCTCCTCCTCCTCCTTCTGCGCCTCCTCCTACCCCTGACGCTGACGCCGCTGACTCCATTCTCCGTTGTCGAGCACGACGCAGCCATCCCCCCTCCCCCCCTCCGCCGGGCGAGGCCCGTGTGTCCTGCGGCCCGCAGCCGGGGGGGTGGTCGTCGCTCTCAACGCGATACGTACTTCGGGGGCTAGGGGGGGATACGCATAGGGGGGGATGCATCGACCCCCAATCGCCCATTGGTCGCCGAGAGGGGCCCGATCGCCCCAACCCGCCCAGGAAGGTGCGGACTCACCATCATAGGGCTGTCGCCGATCTATCGGCGAAGTATCGCCGATTCCAGGTCGATGCATCCCCCCCTATGCCAGTCTCCCCTATCGTTGCCCCTCTGTACTGAGACTGGCTCCCCATCCTCTCCAGCCAACTGGCCTGGACCGTGTCGGTTGCCTGGGATGCAACTCCTTGGAGGCCAAATTCTGATGTTGCACTGGTCCGAAGTCCGGCCTAATCCGGCTTAATCCCGCTTAATCCCGCTCAATCGGGCTCAGTCCGGCTTAATCCGGCTTCATCCCGCTTAATCCGAGGCCCGTACCGGCGTAAATAGCTCCCGAACGGGGCTTAATATTCCTTAATATTTCCGACGAAAACCTCCCAGTAGTTGCCTCCTAAGGTTGCGAGGCGGCCGCGCGTGGCTGCCGCACCTGCGTCGCGCGCGATCGCTGCGGCCTCGCCGGCCCTCGTGCTGCTCTCCTGAGGCCCTCGACGTGGACACCTTGGGGGCAGCGCTCTGGCGGGATAGGCTCCCGTGGTCCAGTGGTTCGACGATAGAGGCTTGCTCTCTGGAGGTCTTGCATCGTCCTGGGCCCCTCTCGTGGCCACCTCTGGACCCGCCCCGGCGTTCTGGGCAGAACGTACCCCAGGTGAGGTCCAGGGGGCGACAAAGAGGGGGGCGATGACTAGGGGGGGGATATCATGGCGTGGGCCATGATATGTCCCCAGATCTCATGGCGCCTCTTCTTATGTCATTACGTCCCTGGCCCCCCCCCCTTGGCCGCGCACATGCCGCCGGCCATGATTTGCACCCCCCCCTCTTGGCCGCCCCCCTCTGTGCCGCTCCCGATTTCGGGGCGGTCTTGTACCGCCCCCTCTCTGCCGCTCCAGTGGTTCGACGATCGAGGCTCGCTCTCTGGAGGTCTTGCGTCGCCCTGGGCCCCTCGTCGTGGCCACCTCTGGGCAGAGCGCTCCCCAGGTGAGCTCCCGGGGGACGATGCCTGCCCGGCTCGCGGGGGCGATGTCTGCGGGCGGCCTCGCTCACGCCTCCGCTCCCCCACGGCCTCGGGGTGCTCTCGCGGCCTCTGCGCCTCGTGGGGAGCGGCCGGAGGGGCGGGTGCCCTCGGGCATCGCCTCGCTCCGCCTCCGCTCCCTCACGGCCTCGGGGTGCTCTCGCGGGCCTCTGCGCCCCGCGGGGAGCGGCCGGAGGGGCGGGTGCTCCCGGGCATCGCCCCGGGCGGCCGCCCCGGGCAGCGGAGGCGTGGCCCGAGGAGCGTCCGGAGCAGGAGCACCGAGGGGGGAGGACGGGGTTGGGGGGGGGGGGGGGCATCTGATGGGCGTATCTTCCACCACCACCACCACAAGTTGGAGGGGGAGGGGGTCCTCCTCCTCCTCCTCCTCCTCCTCCTCCTCCTCCTCCTCCTCCTTCGCCCCCGACCCCGACTCGCCCATTCATCGCCGACGGGGCCCGATGAGCCACCCCGCCCAGAAACGTGCGGATTCGCTATCGGGGGCCTGTCGCCGATCCACCAGCGAGGCATCGCCTGTTCCAGATCCATCCATGTGCCGCTCACGAGCCAGCCCCCCCCCCCTATCTTCCCCCCTCAACACCACGTCGCATGTCGGGCCAAGGAGCCAGAGACTTGAGCGAAGGGATCTGGCGTATAGGCATTCCAGCATCCCACGGCTTGGAAAGTTTGGGCGTCTCGATCCCCATCTTCGCCGCACTGGTCATGTTATGTTTCCGGTGTTCCGTTGGTCTGGTGCGTCCAGAAGTTCGCACGGGGCCGTTCTGCATCCTAGGGCGGCCAGCTCGATTCGACGTACATTCCGACTCGATCCAGTTTTCTGATTAGCTGTTGGCTGCTCTTGCCTCCTCTACTCCCGCCTCGTCCCCAGTCGTGTTCCTGCTTGCCCCTCCCTTCCTTCCCACCCTCGCTTCGGCCCCTCATCATCCCCCCTCCTCCCTCCTGGAAGCCAAGAGCAGGCCAAGACGGTCCGAGCATCTGCTGACTACCGCCGGCTGTGCAAGATGAAGTGCCGCCCGCCTCGCAGAGCGTAGGGCGTGAATGTCGAGAATTTAATGCATGCTTCCTGAGATGTCGCACTGGTGTGCAATGCGGTCGCTCGCGCTCCTCCTTCCTGGAAGCCAGAACACCGATCCCCCCGCGAGGCCGCGACCGCTTCGCCGCCGCCCCTCTCCTCTCCCCCTCGAGGGGGGAAGCGCAGGGGGGGGCTTCTGACCCCCTCCAGCCCACCCCTCCTCCTCCCTCCTCCTCCTCCTCCTCCTCCTCCTCCTCCTCCTCCTGCTCCTGCTCCTGCTCCTCCTCCTCCTCCTCCTCCTCCTCCTCCTCCTCCTCCTCCTCCTCCTCCTCCTCCTCCTCCCCCCGTCGATCGGCCCGCCCCCCGCCCCATTCCGGAATGTCCCCCCGAGACGCCCACGGCCCCAGTGCCACCACTCCTGTGGGGCCACGCCCAGACCTCCGACGTCGTGCCGCTCCTGCCCGTAGCGTACGGGGTCCGGCTCGAAGAAGGAGTACTTGTTTTTTAAAAGGGGCTCGGCCGTTCCCTCGGTTTGCATGCGCTCCGATACCCTGCTGGCGGCAAGCCCCCCCTGGTGTTCCCTCGGTTTTCCTAGACTTCCTTTGGGAAGCATGGGGCTCTGTTCCTCATCTTCGGAGGGGGGAGATGCGACACCAACACCACCAGGGGGGCCCTCCAGCGAGGAGGTCCACGATGCCTCCCCGAGCTGGAGACTGGGGATGTGTCTCGAGCGAGAGGGGGGGACCACACCACCAGGGAGTTTCCCCTTGCCTCCTCGCATCTCCTCGCCCTGTTGGTGTTGGTGTCGCCGTTCCTTGTTCCTATCATGTGTCGTTCCTCAGGTCAGGCCGAATATGGTAGCCGCGTCCCCGGGGCCGGCTCGCCGTTCCGAGTGATCGCTGTTGTTTTGCCCACCCTGGGCACAGTGAGGTTCCTTGGGTTCCCCAGAGGTCGAGCATCTTAGCAGTCGTTCGCCGTATCCTAAGTTTGTGTCGGGCATGTCCTCCATACAGGGGGATTTGGAACGAAAACTAAGAAATACCCCAACAATGCACCAACAGTATTCAAAAATTGTAAAAAATAGTCCCCATACTATTTTTTCTATTATTTTTGAGTATTCCACCTAAGTTTGGGTTCTAGCTTTTTTATGATGTGCCAACCTGCTTTAGCCTTGACCACCAGAAAGCATGTCGAGCACCAAGAAGATACCGGAACTGGAGGGTGTTCACGCGTCGGGCCCTGGGAGGTGATACTCATTCGAAATTGCTTCGATACTTTTCGGGGTGCTCGACATTTTGTCTGGGATGTAGTCCTTAAGTACGATGGGAACATGATTCTAGCTCTTACTCGGACGCCTCCGACTCATACCTCACACCTCTTTCTCCCCACGTTTCTCCCCTTCCTCACTCAGACTCGATTATGTTCATATTCACTCGCACTGAGACTCAGGCTCAGTCGTGCTCGGACTCGTCCATGCGCAGATTCACTCGCACGCAGACTCGCATGCTCCATTCACCCATTCAGGCTGACCACCCCATACTCAGACTTTACTCACGCCCAGACGCACTCACACCCAGCCTCGCCCACATCCTCCACCTCGTCACTCCGCTTCCTCCACACATATTGCGCAGACCATTCCCACTGTAAGGCTCGCCTCGCACTCCGCCTGTGAGGATGCCTCGCGGGAGGCGGTGGCTTCGACACCCCAGGGGGGAGCCGCCAGGGGTGTTGTATTTCACGGGCCCCTCCGCGCCCAGAGTGCGGCGACGTCTCGGGCGGTTTGGCTTGCTTGCTTGTTGCTTTGGGCCTGGGTGCCTGCAGTACAGACCTTAGTGGGCCCTTGAAACGATTGGGCCGTTAGTGAGTTTCGTGGAGCCATGGTTTAGTGATCTGTACCGGGTGCGCCCGCCCCATTTCCACGAACCGGAACTGCCGTCACCCGAAAAAACACCAGTTTTGGCGAACCTGGTTTAGTGATTCTGGCCAACTCAGAGGCTCCAGGGCCCTACCACTGACCGGGTCCCCTTACCCTGGGTCCAGGCCTTTTGTGGGCCCCGGAAACGGCAGGCCCGGCTTTTCACCGCTTCCGAAAAAGTGCCCCTTCAAAGTGGAAACGGCAAAACAAAGGCGAGCGGACACGGCAACAAAAACGGCTCCAGGATTGGAATCGGTGCCGGAACCGGTCAAAATACGGCGACGGAGCCAGTATAAAAACGGCGTCGGATCCGGCAAAAAAACGGCAAAATTGAACCGGTAAAAACGTTTCCAGGGCCCACTAAGGGATTGTGATGATGTCTCGAGCGAGGCGTGGGTTCCTCATCCCACATGGGAAGCCGCCCAGGGGACATTTCACATGCCTGCTCGTGTCATCTGCACGAACGAAATGGGCACGGAAAGAATGGGTACGATGCTCAACAGCAGTTCCTGTTCATTTTGAACGGGACTTGCTGTCCACGCCGCCGCGGCCTGTGTACATTCGAGACAGAAGGCCGCCTGCCCAACAGCGGCCGCTGTTGGTTTGGGACAACATTTGTTGTTGGGCATTGTACCCATTCTTTCCGTACCCATTTCGGGCGCCCAAATGTCAGATTGCGGGAGTGTCTCGGGCGGTTTGTTGTTTGATGGCCTGGATGTATTTGCTCTCAAAGAGGCTGTGGGGATGTCTCGAGAGAGGCGCTGTCGTCAACAGCCCAAGCAGGAGCCGCCAGGCGATGTTTCACGGACCCGTCCGCGCTCAGCTTGTCAGGGATGTAGAGCGGATTATGAGGATGCCTCGAGCGAGGCGCTGGTGTCAGCAACCCAGGCGGCAAGATCGTGGGGATGTGTCAAGCGAGGCACTTAGGTCTGCAGCGCCGTCGTCGATCCACTCAGAGCTGCAGGATCCTTTCGATGTAGGGAGGGGGACGGCCGCCACTGTGGAGGAGTGGCAACGGAGGAGGCATGAGGAGGGCTCAGGGAGACGGGGAAGAGAGGAGGCAGGAGAATAAGGGAGGGGACGCGACCGCGTGCCCGTCTGTGACCTGTCGTCGTCGCTGTCCCTCATCGTAGGTGCCGCCGTGGTCGTCATCGTTGTCGTCGTCGTCGTACTTGTCGTCCACTCTGCTTCGCTCTCACACCCCGACGCTGATGGCAAGGAACTCGCGGCGGGTCGTTCAGATGGGGACACCAGCGTCGAATAGTTCAGTTGATTGCTATGACGGGTTGCGCACTGATTTGCAAAGAACACGATCATCTCGCTAGAGTCCAGTATTTCCTACGTGTGAAGGAACTGTCCGTTGTCATATCAAAGGCGTGCCATTCGAACACCGACGCTGTCGCGCACGCCAGCCAACCTATTGTGGCAGCCAGCTTATTTGAGCGGCTGCACGCGACGCACCCTAATGCGCACAGCTGCTACTCAAGCTAATTAACCCCCCATTAATCCTCCTCCTTTCCCCTGTCCTCGATCCCCCTACGGAGAGGCGAAAACCTGCCTCGACTCTTCGCCAAGAACCTCGACTCCCTTCGTTTGTGCCCCCCTTGATTGGTTGAAAAGGCTGAGAGGTAAAATTTCGCATCGGCGCCGGTATTCTTTCCGCGGTTGATAACCGTCCTATTCCGGCCTGCCTCCGCTGATCCGTCTTTACCCATTCTGATTCGTCGTAATCCTTGGTTGATTCGGGTTTAATCTAGCTTTGGCCCCTTCATCGGGCTCGGTAGCCCTTACGCAGTCTTAAGACGATCTCCCAAATGTTGCGTCGACCTTGTTTTCAAATCCAATTCTGGCAAGCTTGCTTGCATGGGTGGGGGGCGTCCCTGGCTCTCCATCTGAAGGAAAGCTGGGAATCACGCGAGTGTCGACGTTGACGTGCGCGTGTTTGCTCGGCCCAGTGTTGGTTGAAATGGTAACAGCGGCGAGGGTGTGGACAACTTGCCACGCTGTTTAGCTTGCCAGTGTCCGGAAGCCAAACCACCAGGCGCTTACTGCGTACGGCAGATTCGCGTGGTGTCGACCGGCGGCGACCCGCCGTTGGCGTTCAACGTTGCACGCCGCCGGCGACCTAGGTTCGCTCGGTGTAGAGCGATGTGACGCTTCGAAACCGGCCGATCGTTCGATCCCCGCGGTGTCAGAAACCAGAGCCGAAGTCGGCACGGCGCGGATCCACCATGAAAGCGGCGTAGGGGGGGCACTGCCACTCTGGTGAGCCTGCCGGCGAGCGTCCAAAATTCAAACTAGCAGGTGCCGCCGCCGCCGCCGTCGTCGCGGTCGCCGTCGCCGTCGCCTTCGTCGTCGTCGTCGCCGTCGCCGACGTTGTCGTCGTCGTCGTCGCCGTCGCCGTCGCCGTCGTCGTCGCCGCCACCACCGCCGTCGCCTCCAACGTAGCCTTAAGTCGGGCCTGTCCCTCTACAGGAGGGATATTCAAAAATTGTCAAAAAATAGCCTGGGGATTTTTTTTTCCCAACCATCCTGTGGTGTTGGGTCCTCGTTTTGAAGTGACGGTGCCCCGCGTTCCTCTCCTTCCTCCTCCCCCTCCTCCCCCTCCTTGCCTCTGCTCTCGGCACACCTCTCACGCGTTTCGTAGCCCCATAGGGAGCTCCACCGAAGGCCCCAGTGGGGGTGTTCGCATGCGGTTCCCCCACCCAGGGCAGCGTTTCGTGGCCCCATAGGGAGCTCCACCGAAGGCCCCAGTGGGGGTGTTCGCATGCGGTTCCCCCACCCAGGGCAGCGTTTCGTGGCCCCATAGGGAGCTCCACCGAAGGCCCCAGTGGGGGTGTTCGCATGCGGTTCCCCCACCCAGGGCAGCGTTTCGTGGCCCCATAGGGAGCTCCACCGAAGGCCCCAGTGGGGGTGTTCGCATGCGGTTCCCCCACCCAGGGCAGCGTTTCGTAGCCCCATAGGGAGCTCCACCGAAGGCCCCAGTGGGGGTGTTCGCATGCGGTTCCCCCACCCAGGGCAGCGTTTCGTGGCCCCATAGGGAGCTCCACCGAAGGCCCCAGTGGGGGTGTTCGCATGCGGTTCCCCCACCCAGGGCAGCGTTTCGTAGCCCCATAGGGAGCTCCACCGAAGGCCCCAGTGGGGGTGTTCGCATGCGGTTCCCCCACCCAGGGCAGCGTTTCGTGGCCCCATAGGGAGCTCCACCGAAGGCCCCAGTGGGGGTGTTCGCATGCGGTTCCCCCACCCAGGGCAGCGTTTCGTAGCCCCATAGGGAGCTCCACCGAAGGCCCCAGTGGGGGTGTTCGCATGCGGTTCCCCCACCCAGGGCAGCGTTTCGTGGCCCCATAGGGAGCTCCACCGAAGGCCCCAGTGGGGGTGTTCGCATGCGGTTCCCCCACCCAGGGCAGCGTTTCGTAGCCCCATAGGGAGCTCCACCGAAGGCCCCAGTGGGGGTGTTCGCATGCGGTTCCCCCACCCAGGGCAGCGTTTCGTGGCCCCATAGGGAGCTCCACCGAAGGCCCCAGGGGTGTTCGCATGCGGCAGGTTCCCCCACCCAGGGCAGCGTTTCGTAGCCCCATAGGGAGCTCCACCGAAGGCCCCAGTGGGGGTGTTCGCATGCGGTTCCCCCACCCAGGGCAGCGTTTCGTGGCCCCATAGGGAGCTCCACCGAAGGCCCCAGTGGGGGTGTTCGCATGCGGTTCCCCCACCCAGGGCAGCGTTTCGTAGCCCCATAGGGAGCTCCACCGAAGGCCCCAGTGGGGGTGTTCGCATGCGGTTCCCCCACCCAGGGCAGCGTTTCGTGGCCCCATAGGGAGCTCCACCGAAGGCCCCAGTGGGGGTGTTCGCATGCGGTTCCCCCACCCAGGGCAGCGTTTCGTAGCCCCATAGGGAGCTCCACCGAAGGCCCCAGTGGGGGTGTTCGCATGCGGTTCCCCCACCCAGGGCAGCGTTTCGTGGCCCCATAGGGAGCTCCACCGAAGGCCCCAGTGGGGGTGTTCGCATGCGGTTCCCCCACCCAGGGCAGCGTTTCGTAGCCCCATAGGGAGCTCCACCGAAGGCCCCAGTGGGGGTGTTCGCATGCGGTTCCCCCACCCAGGGCAGCGTTTCGTGGCCCCATAGGGAGCTCCACCGAAGGCCCCAGTGGGGGTGTTCGCATGCGGTTCCCCCACCCAGGGCAGCGTTTCGTAGCCCCATAGGGAGCTCCACCGAAGGCCCCAGTGGGGGTGTTCGCATGCGGTTCCCCCACCCAGGGCAGCGTTTCGTGGCCCCATAGGGAGCTCCACCGAAGGCCCCAGTGGCTGTCTCGCATGCGGTTCCCCCACCCAGGGCAGCGCTTCGTGGCCCCATGGGGAGCTCCACCGAAAGCCCCCGTGGCGCAGTTCGCATGCGCTTCCCCCACCCAGGGCAGCGTTTCGTGGCACCATAGGGAGCTCCACCGAAGGCCCCAGTGGCGCAGTTCGCATGCGGTTCCCCCACCCAGGGCAGCGTTTCGTAGCCCCATAGGGAGCTCCACCGAAGGCCCGCCCCGGTGGCGCAGTCCGCATGCGGTTCCCCCATCCAAGGCAGCGCTTCGTGGCCCCATATGGAGCCCCACCGAAAGCGGCACCCACAACGCGTTACCAACAATTGCTTATGGTTGGGTCTTTCGCAAGGATAATTTGTTTTATTATTATTTTTGGGCATTTGGAGGATTTTTTCCATATTTTTCACTGCTCACCCAAAATCCCCCTGCAGGGGGACAGGCCCGACTTAAAACGTAGCCCTTTGGTCGGCCCGCTGGCTGGCGGGCCGAGCCCGGGGCGGCAGGTGCAGCGGCAGGTCCTCGCGGACAAGCCGCTGCAGGCGGCCGCCGGGACCGCCGCCGCCGCCGCTCCCCGGGAGCGACGACGTCGACGACGACGACGACGACGACGACGACGACGACGACGACGACGACGACGACGACATCGACGACGCATCGACGACGACGAGGATGACGGCGAGGACGACGACGACGAGGACGACGACATCGACGACGGCGACGAGGACGGCGACGACGACGACGACGACGACGACGACGACGACGACGACGACGACGACGACATCGACGACGGCGACGAGGACAACGACGACGACGACGACGACGACGACGACGACGACGACGACGACGACGACGACGACGACGACGACGACACTGACGACGGCGACGAGGACAACGGCGGCGGTGGCGGCGGCGGCCGTTCGGCGGCAGCTCAGATGCCGCTGCCGCGCCAGCTGGCAAACGCCCTCCGAGGACGGGGCGGGGGGCATCGGGGACCGAGGCGGAGGGCGATTCCCAGCGCAGTCACAGGGGCGTCACTTGGGCAGCGCTCCTTCGCCGCCATCCCCCCCTGTCCTCCGTTTGCCTCCCCGTGCTCCGTGCTCCGCCCTCCTTCGCCCTCATCCTCGTTCGCTTCTTTCCGCCCTCCTTCTCTACTCTACTACTACTACTACTACTACTACTACTACTACTACTACTACTACTACTACTACTACTACTACTACTACTACTACTACTACTACTACTACTACTACTACTACTACTACTACGACTACTGCTACTACTACTACTACTACTACTACTACTCCCTCGTTCTTCTCCCCCGCCTCCGCCTCCTGCTCCTGAGGGTTCGGAGACTGCCTGGGCACATTGATGACAGGATGTGTGTGTGTGTTTCCCCCTGGTTCCTGGCGCGTGTTTGCTGTTGGCGTTAACCCGTTTGGGTTTTTGTGGGGTCCGTGGGTCTGGTTCGGCCTTTCAGTTCCCCGCTCTTCCTCGTCCCCTTCTCTTGCTGCTGCTCCTGTCTGCAATGGCGGTGGTTCCGAAGCATAGTTGCTCTTCTCAAAAAGTGGGGTGGGGAACCCACCGCCGTCGTCGTCGTCGTAGTCGCCGTCGCTGTCCCGCCGCCGTGAGGAGCGATCGCGAACGGTTTGATTGATACATTGTTTCCCTTTCCTAGGGCGCGTCTTCGTGGCCCACGGCTGGACGCAGGCTTGGGAACTGTCGTGAAAGCGAACCAGGGCCTTTTTGGGAATAGTCTTGGATTTGGCCACAAGGTCAGTGAACCCCATTGCAGTTGTTAGCTGCCCAGAGCGGTGGGTCACCGCTGGACCTGCGGCCGCGAACGGGACCGTGCAATACCCAACGGCGGCTCCCCTTAGGGACGTGAAAATGAGCGCCTCGCTCGAGACATCCTTCAAATCTGCTCCGAAAGCGAAGGACGTTGGGAAAGAACACAGGCACACCGCTTGAGACATCCCCACAAAACGGCCGCGAACGGGACGGTGCAATACCCCTCGGCGGCTCCCATTAGGAACGTGGAAATGAGCGCCTCGCTCGAGACATCCTCCAAATCTGCTCCGAAAGCGAAGGATGTTGGGACAGACAACAGGCAAACCGCTTGAGACATCCCCACAAAACGGCCGCGAACGGAGCGTGCGTGAGTCTCAGCATGAGTAAGTCTGAGTAGGAGTAGGTCTGAGTATGAGTAGGTCTGAATATGAGTAATTTTATGTTTGAGTAAGTCTTGAGTAAATCTGAGTGTGAGTAAGTCTGTGTATGAGTAAGTCTGGGTATGAGGAGGAGAAGAAGGAGGAGAAGGAGAAGGAGGAAAAGTAGGAGGCGTCCAAGTAATTATTCACTGCGTGGAGCTCCCCATATGTGTATCTATTCGCATGGACCTGTCCGCCGTGAATGTCTAGGCGCAAGAGCTTTCGAATATAAACGGGCTTCAGTTGTGACGGTCTGGTCATGAATCTAATTGAGAATGAATTGGCGTGTGAATGAGCCTCAGTAGTACGAGCGCGTCTCTGCGCATGAGCCTGGGTCCTCCTGGGGCCTCCTGGGGCCTCCTGAAACCTACTGGGGCTTCCTGGGGCCTCCAGGAGCCTCTCCCGGAGCTTCCTGGGGCCTCCTAGAGCCTCTTGGGACATCCTGTGGCCTCTTGTTTTCTGTGGCCTCCTGATGCCTCCTGGGACCTCATGTGGTATCCTGGGGCCTCCTGGAGCATGTTCGAGCCACGTGTCTGGCCACCGATCGAGACGTCCTCAAAATCTGGCCCACCTGGGGGGTGAAAATGAACGCCTCGCTTGAGACATCCTCCAAATCTGCTCCGAAAGCGAAGGATGTTGGGACAGAAAACAAGCAAACCGCTTGAGACATCCCCACAAAACGTCCGCGATCGGGACCGTGAGATAACCCCTGGCGGCTCCCCTTAGGGACGTGAAAATGAGCGCCTCACTCGAGACATCCTCCAACTCAGCTTCGAACGCGAAGAATGTTGGGACAGAAAACAGGCAAACCGCTTGAGACATCCCCACAAAACGGCCGCGATCGGTACCGTGAGATAACCCATGGCGGCTCCCCTCAGAGGGGTGAAAATGAGCGCCTCGCTCGAGACATCCTCCAAATCTGCTCCGAAAGCGAAGGATGTTGGGACAGAAAACAGGCAAACCGCTTGAGACATCCCCACAAAACGGCCGCGAACGGGACCGTGAGATGACCCCTCGGCGGCTCCCCTTAGGGACGTGAAAATGAGCGCCTCGCTCGAGACATCCTCCAAATCTGCTCGACAGAAAACAGGCAAACCGCTTGAGACATCCCCACAAAACGGCCGCGAACGGGCGTGAGATAACCCTTGGCGGCTCCCCTCAGGGGGGTGAAAATGAGCGCCTTGCTCGAGACATCCTCCAAATCTGCTCCGAAAGCGAAGGATGTTGGGACAGAAAACAGGCAAACCGCTTGAGACATCCCCACAAAACGGCCGCGAACGGGGCGTGCGTGAGTCTCAGCATGAGCAAGTCTGAGTAGGAGTAGGTCTGAGTATGAGTAGGTCTGAGTATGAATAATCCGTAAGGGCTTCGCCCCCTGCCGCCGGCCCCCTCTCTCGGAGAATGGGCCATGGAAGAGCAGGTTTTGGACCCTGACCCCGCGGATCTGCGTGAGGGGTGGCACCGAATTTCAGAAATGTGGGAAATCCCCTTTGTTTTTGGACCCTGACCCCGCGGATCTGCGTGAGGGGTGGCACCGAATTTCAGAAATGTGGCAAATCCCTTATGTTTTTGGATCCTGAACTTGCGGATCTGCGTGAGGGGTGTCGATTTTGAGCCCCCCCAGCAATTCAGACAACGCGCCCAGGTGGTGCTAAAAATCTGGTTTGGGCCTCCCTCCCCTCGCGCGGTCAATCAACTAGTTACAGTAACCAGCAAGAAGCAGAACTGTAACACTGGAAACTACAAACTACAACTGGTACAGGAAACTGCGAATCACGGGCCTACAGCCTGGTGGCCCCACAAGGGGGCCGGCGGATTTTTAAGTGTAAGTCTGGGTATGAGTAAATCTGAGTGTGAGTCAGTCTGTGTATAAGTAAGTTTGGGCATGAGGAGGAGACAGGAGGAGAAGGAGGAGGAGAAGTCGGCGGCGTCCAAGAAATTATTCACTGCGTGGAGCTCCCCATATGTGCATCTATTCGCATGGACCTGTCCGCCGTGAATGTCTAGGCGCAAGAGCTTGCGAATATAAATGGGCTTCAGTTGTGACGGTCTGGACATAAATCTAACTGCGAATGAATTGGCGTGTGAATGAGCCTCAGTAGTACGAGCGCGTCTCTGTGCATGAGCCTGGGGCCTCCTGGGGCCTCCTGAAACCTACTGGGGCTTCCTGGGGCCTCCAGGAGCCTCTTGGGGCCTCCTGTGACCTCCTAGGGAGGTTTCGTGCCCCAGGAGAGGCGCAATACATATATATATATATATATATATAGCAACAGACGTACATAAAACATTGCGGATTAGAGCCACAGGAGAAGGGCAATCTATAGAAGCACGCGTAAAACACCAAGGACTCGTGCCCCAGGAGAGGCTCAATATATAGGAACCTAAGTAAAACATGTAGGATTGCTTACACAGGAGAAGGACAATCTATAGAACATATGTTGCCTTCTGAGGCCTCCTGCTCCTGGGGCCTCTCGGGGCCTCCTGTTGCCTTCCGAGGCCTCCTGGCGCTTCCTGTGGCCTCCTGGGGCCTCCTGTGGCTTCCTGAGGCCTTCTGGAGCTTCCTGGGGCCTCCTGGAGCCTCTTGGGACATCCTGTGGCCTCGTGAGTCTTTCTGTGGCCTCCTGATGTCTCCTGGGACCTCATGTGGTCTCCTGGGGCCTCCTGGAGCCTGTTGGAGCCTCCTGTGGCATCACGAGAAGAATCTGCGCCCACGAGCCTGGCCACCAAAACAAGCAAACCGATCGAGACATCCTCAAAATCTGGCCCACCTGGGGGGTGAACATGAGCGCCTCGCTCGAGACATCCTCCAAATCTGCTCCGAAAGCAACAGATGTTGGCACAGAACACAGGCAAACCGCTCGAGACATCCCCACAACATCCTGCGAAAGGGGCCGAGTGAAACACCCCCCCGCCGCTCCCCTCAGGAACGTAAAATTGAGCGCCTCGCTCGAGACATCCTCCAAATCTGCTCCGAAAGAGAAGGATGTTGGGGCAGAAAACAGGCACACCGCTCGATACAGCCCCACAACATCCTGCGAAAGGGGCCGAGTGAAACGCACCCCCGCCGCTCCCCTTAGGAGTGCTGAAGCCACAGAATCGCCTGGGACATCCTCAACGTCAGTGTGTGTGAGTCATCAAATGAGTGGACCTGAGTGAGTGTAGTGAATGTACGAGTACAAGTACGAGTGAGTCTGAGTGATGAGTGAGTCTGAGTGACGAGTGAGTCTGAGTAATGAGTGAGTCTGAGTGATGAGTGATGAGTCTGAGTCATGACTGAGTCTGAGTGATGAGTGAGTCTGAGTGATGAGTGGGTCTGAGTGATGAGTGGGTCTGAGATGAGTGAGTCTGAGTGATGAGTGAGTGGGTCTGAGTGAGAGGAGTGGTGTGTTCTCTCTCGTTCTCTCCTCCAGCGCGGTCCGCCAATAACAAGAACCCCATCTTAGGAAATGGGGAATAACAAGAACCCCATCTTAGGAAATGGGGAATAACAAGAACCCCATCTTAGGACATGGGGAACATCTAGCGGGTCGTGCGTAGATTTTTTCGGGGCCCGTGTGCGCGCTTAGCAGAAACGTTGGCATGCCTCGCTGGGGAAACGAGCATTTCGCCAAACTCATGGGTTGATTGCTTGGGATTGGGATCTTCGTTCTGCTGGGGCGAGAGGAGCAAACGCGTTTACGAAATGGCACGAGCGTTGGAATTGCGGGAAACGCGGGACCAGTTCGGGGATAAATATTTACACATTGTTTTCCGGTGGTTTTGCAACGTTAGACATTTCTTGGGCGGGTGACGCGGCACGACGTGTCTCGACGCATGGCCGCTCACAGGTCCAAGGGCACCAGGAGTGTTCTGGTTTGGGGGTACAATGTTCGGCCCCCTTGGACCCGAAAAAATATCTCCAAACCGTTTTGGGGTGATTCGTTGTGAGGTTAATTCTGAAAATTTGGTAGGTCAGTATTTCGTCGGTTTTCCCCATGGAGGGTTGCTGCGCGGGCTGATCCTCTCCTGTTTGAGGGTGGCCAGTGCTCTCGGAGTATGTGTTATCTGGGTGCGCGGCATAGGACAGGGATCCAGGCCGACGAGTCTTGAGGCGTTCGTTGCCGACCAGTTGATTGTAACGACTTCTTCAAACCATTGCCCAGGGGGCGCAGCGGTCTCGCACTGCCAGGCGTCGGCCGCAATGTCGATAGAACCGCATTGCCGCGGAAGTATCAAATCACCCGCGTCCGCGGTGGGCGGCGAAAAATCCTGGACAAGGGTAGGGGTAATCATTTCCCCGCGCGCAAAGCTGGTGCCTTCGAGATCACCGTTCGCCCTCCCGCTCCGCCCTTCCTCTGGGGGGATGGGAGCGCGCTCCTGCGACGGGGGGGGCCCGGCGCTTTTCGCCTTTCGAGGTTGTTTTTGTCCAGCGATGGGAGAGCCCGGCGCTTCGCGCCGCTCAGTCAGGTCGCTTCCCCGCGCGTTCGGGAAGCCCGACGCCGAGCGCCCGCCGAGGTGTTTCTTCGCTGCGTTGGGGGGGCCCGCGCTCGCCGAGGTCAGTCTCCGAGGCGCCGCGGAAGCGCCAGGGGTTCGGCGCCGGGGAAGCGAAACCCGCCGTTCTGGCAATCGCGTTTGCGTCGACGCGCCGCGACGTTCGTGCCGCGCCGGGCCTGCAGCGACGCCTGGCGTCCTCGCGTTGTCAGGTCATCGGCGTTATTCGTTTTGAACTTGCGTGGCTCATGGTGCGTCTCAGTAGCGCAGCACGTAGCTTCCCGTGCGCTGGGTTTCTCACAGCCCTTCGCAATGCATTTTTGGAATCATAATGGACTTGGCAGGCACGAGGCTCGCGTCGGCGTCCGATTGATGTTTGAGGCAGCACAAATGCACGTCAGGTTGCTCCCGCGCCCGTTCCTGAAGAGGCGCCGCCCGCGGGGTCCTGGAGCCAACGTCGGAATTTCAACGGGGGGGGCGCGTAGTCCTGGCACTACGACTCCCTGGAGAAGAGTGCGTGGAGTCTGAACGACGGCATTCTACATCGGGGGCACCTGATTTGTTTTGGCTGGTTCTGCACATCGAGTTCCTTCTCTTTGTTTTTGCATTTCTTCCCTCGGCGTCGCATGTTTCGTTTTCTACTCCCTGGTCGTTTCGGTGTGTTTCCCGTCTCTCGTCGTTTTCCGTTCTACGGTTAGACCCGCTTTGAAATATTAATGTTTGTTTTCCTGTTTTTGGGCCATGGGCGCCGTCGTGTTTGTCTAACCGTTTTTGTTGCTCCTTTTCTCAAGTTGTGTTGTTGTTGCACGGCCTGCCACCGGTGGGGCAACTTCTCGCGGAATGTTCGAACTACCGCGCACTCGAGCTGCTCCGCATTCTCACCCGCAAAATTCGCGTCGCTGTTACCTGACCGTGCTCTCTGTCTGTGCTTCTGCACGGGACCCATGAAGCTGGTCCTCCACCGGTGGGGCAACTTCTCGCATCACTTTTGAACCACCGCGCGAGCGAGCTGCTCCGCGCGTCCCCCCCCCCCTCCGCAGGCAGTGCACGAGGAGCCTCGGACCAGGGGCCGCGCGGCCGCCCCCCCGCCTTCGGGCGGGACGAAGCGAGGTCGCCTTTTTTGGGCGCCTGCTGCGCGGTGCCTTAAGCTCACAGCATTTCCCACGGATGCCGCGTGGAGTCGCCTCTGGCTCGGGGGCGAGGCCTGTCGAGCTCCAACCAGAAATCCCGCGGCGCGCCCTTTTTTTTCCCCCCCCGAGAGTGTTTGCGCGCCCGTCTTTGCACGTGGGTCTGGGTCGTTTGTCCTTCGTCTCCGCTTTTCGGGGCGGGGTCCACGGTGCGCGCGTGTCCCAGGGAGCGCCCTGTTCGGGTGCCCCGTGGGCTGAGAAGGGGGGGGCGTTTCGTCGCTGGCGCGCGTCCGGTTGTCGCCGCAGGTCCCCCCGTCTGGGTTCTGCAGGGGGGCCGCGGGTCCGCTTTGGCCCCTCGCCTGCTCGGGGCGCCCTGCTCGGGCTTGAGGGCGGAAAAGGGGGGTGTTCCGTCGCTGGCGCGCGTTCGGCTGCCACCGTGATCCCCCTGTTGGGGCTCTGCGGGGGGCCGTGGGTCCATTTTGGCCCTTCCCCTCTCCACCGTCATCCCCCGCCTGGGTTTTGGGGGGGGGGGGGCCGTGGGTCCATTTTGGCCCTTCCCCTCTCCACCGTCATCCCCCGCCTGGGTTTTGGGGGGGGGGGGGGGGCGTGGGTCCATTTTGGCCCTTCCCCTCTCCACCGTCATCCCCCGCCTGGGTTTGGGGGGGGCGCGGGTCCGTTTTGGCACGTGCCCTCGTCCGCCGTGCGTCGTCCCTCTCCTGCTGCTGCC